TCTGACTTCAGCAATGAAGTCGCCTGCTACCAACGATTACATCTGAGTATTTTGTTTTTCCCATCACACTAGAGAGTTTTTGACAAAACTCATCCTTTATTTCGTCTAAATTGGAGTCAGTTTGGACGTAGATTGAGACTATAAAAAGGCATCGACGGGTAACGCAGTCCCTCTTTCTTCTTAAACATCCATTCAAACAGACAGTACACATACGACTATCTAATAGCATCCAGTCGAATAAGGATTTTCTGACCTAAAAATCAATGTTATCCGTATGCCTCATAGCTCTAGTTAACCAGCAGATGAATCTCCTGACAACCATAAAGTGAATTTCGCGAATTCACCCTGTTGGTCAGGTGTAATTAAGTGAATAACCACATTTAGGTCTTGTATGAGTGTCTTTGGGACGCAGCATACATCCATGGCTCAAGATGCTAGAGTTCTGTCTGTCTGGATTCAACATAGAACTTGGCACCGAAGTGCAGCAGTTCGAGTTGCCACGTTCCAAATAGCACACAGAGGTAGACAAGAAGATGAGTGAAGAGAATCAATAGAGTTTGACAAATATAAGAGTGAAACAGAATGGGTAATGGTAGAAAGGAATATGAAAGATTACAGAGATTGAATACATCTGCGCCATTGACAACGATTTTGAGCCATGTCACCTATTGTCTCCAGCCATTGATTCCTAGAGTCCCGAGGGCCCCAACCCGGGAGTCTGCATCTCCCTACCTGACTCAGTTTAACTGTCAAGGATTTCATGGATTGATGCCATGTTTTTGTTTGGCCACCACTGGCTCTTTTCCAACCTGAACCTATATCAGCTAACAATGCCCGTCGGGGGAGGCGGTGGTTAGGCATGCGCACCACGTGACCTAGCCATCTTAGTCTATGTAACTTTATAACCTCGTCGATTGATTTTCCCTCTTTGCCCAACACTCTACGCCTAACGTCAACATTACTTATCTTGTGAAACCACCTAACGTGAGACAGAGATCGCAGACATCTATGATCGAAAGCAGTCAACCTTTTCATGTCTTCAACGCGTATTGGCCATGTTTCAGAGCCATAGAGAAGGACGGAGCGAACTGATGAGCAGTACACACGTCCCTTGGTTGATAACCGGATGTCACGCCTACGCCAGAGATGGTGTAAGTCAGCGAAAGCAGCTCGAGCTTTTCGGATCCGTGCTGAGATTTCATCGCCAATCAGTCCGTTGGTGCTAATACAACTTCCCAAGTAGGTGAAGTGGTCAACATGTTCTATCACTTCACTCCCTATCACTAAGTTAGGGGTTGACGTGGTCCAGTCCTGTAGCAGCATCTTACATTTTGCAGGGGCGAATCGCATGCCAAACATACGAAGATTGCTGCTCAAGGTGTTCAGAAGACTCTGCATTTTGTCAGCATCCTCCCCTAACAGGACTATGTCATCTGCATATTCTAAGTCCATTAGATTATTCCCTGGTAACAAGTCGATTCCTAAGTCACTACGTTCAGTTAAGGATACTTCCATTAGCATATCTATGATGAAGTTAAACAGAAATGGGGAAAGTGGACATCCCTGTCGGACACCACTGGTTGTTACTAATTCAGATGACAATTCCCCATAAGCCCTTACACGACTACGTGAGTTTGAATAGAGTGCCTTGATTAGTGCAATGTACTTTCTTGGCACTCCCTTCACAGTCAGACATTGCCATAGTACCTTTCGGTCCACGGAGTCGAAGGCCGCCTTCAAGTCAAGAAATATGACAATTGTTGGACGCCGAAAAGTGTGTCTATGTTCTAGAATCTGTCGAAGAGTGAAGATATGATCTATGCACCCTCTACCTGGTCTAAAGCCTGCTTGATTTTCCCTTGTCTGTTCCTCCCGAGTTCTGCTTAGTCTATGCATGATTACTGAGCCTAGGATTTTAGAGACTATGTTCGTTAGGCTGATCCCCCTATGATTATCACACGAGGACTTGTTTCCCTTCTTGAATATCGGTATAATAAGTGACTTACCCCAGTCTGATGGTACTGTCTCTGATTCCCAGACTTTGCCTAGTACCTCAGTTAATCTACAAACTAGTATGTCACCCCCATATTTAAACACCTCCGGAATAATTCCGTCGGGTCCTGCCGCTTTGCCTCGTTTCAAATTACTGATAGCTTTTGTAACCTCACCTACAGACGGCGGACCAGTGTCTATATCCCATTCGGGTACGTGGTGGATGGCGGGGAGGTTCAGTGTGGCTGTAGGCAAGTTAAATTGTTCCTCAAAGTGTTCTTTCCAGCGTTCAAGGCGTCTATCCTGAGAGCTAATTAAGGAGCCATTTTTCTCAGAAATAGTCTCACTTATGAATTGCCTTCTCCCACCCGATTCTGTGATGAGTCTAAAGAGTTGCCTAGTGTTGCCTATCGCCAATGCTTTTTCCATCTCTTTCGCCTTTGTCACCCACCACTGTTCACGGTCCTTGCGGAGACTTTTAGTAAGTTTCCTTTTGTGCAGCTTTCGCTCCTCATTGAATTCGGAGCTCGCCGGAATAAGTCTTCTAGCATCTATCAGTTCGGATGAGGCAGTCGAAATCCAGTGGTTTTTACTCACCTTTGGATTTGTCTTATTCACAGCTTTTACAGCTGTATCTATAGCTGACTGAATATTCTTCCAGGCTTCTCCAGGGTGAGCACAGCTGTCGATTCAGATATGCGTTTAGCTAGTTCTTCCTCAAATAGGGATTTAGTTTCCTGATCGAGCTGGGGACGTGATGGTTTTACCGCCAGCTGTTTCCTACGTCCGTTCAGTCGTAAGCACACACGAGCCCGGACCAGTGCGTGATCGGTATCTACACACGTGTTCCAGAAGGAGCGACAATCTCCTACCGACCCACGCCAACGATAGCTTATTGCTATGTGGTCTATTTGTGTCCAGCGTTGGTTTGATGATGGGGGTCGCCAGGTTAAACAGTGTCTCTCCTTGTGTTTAAAGTTAGTGCTTACAAGAAACAAATGATTATCTGAACAGAACTGTAGGAGACGGTCACCGTTGTCGGTTCGCTGGCACGGAACTCCATAGGTGCCACCGACATCCTTCTCAGATTGACACAATTTCCCTACTTGAGCGTTAAAGTCACCAGCTAGAACGACTATATCTGAGCGTTTAGCCTTTCTCACCAAACTAGACAGCTTTTGGTAGAACTCATCCTTCGTTTCATCCGAACTGCAGTCAGTGGGGGCGTAGGCGGAGATTACGAAAAGGCATCGGCGAGTAGTGCAGTCCTTTCTCCTTCTTACTGATCCGTTCAGACGGACAGCACACATTCGGCTATCTACTGGGATCCAGTCAAGCAATGTCTTTTCTGCCCTAGTACTCAGAGCTATCCCTACGCCAGCTAATCCCCGTGAACTAGCTGTGGCATCTCCTGACACCCTCAAGGTGAATTTTGAAGATTCATCCTGTTGGCCAGGTGGGGTTAGGTGAATAACCACACTTGGGTCTTGTATGCGTGTTTCTGAAACACAACATACATCAATGGCTCGAGATGCCAGGGTCTTAGCTAGTGATGCTTGTTGTCCTATTTGGCAAAGTGTCCTTACATTAAATGCTCCTATATGAAATTGGTGGCGTGGCTTTAGGAGACTATCCGTGGTGGTTTTTTGGCTTTCGTCGTTTTTAGTGGACACAGAGTGAAGAGGGAGTGAGGAGCCATCAAGTAGAGGAGTTGCATCACTGGGGGAAGGTAAGGTAATAGAGATGAAGATGAAGACAAAGATAAGTGAGGATTAGAGAGGTTTTGTGTGCGCTTTGGATTGTGAGGGCGATTGTTACTTCCCGGCTGCCCACACCGTGGAAGTTGGTTGCGTGACCGCAGAGCCCAGGGGACAACTGCTTGAGGCCGGTCACACGCGGCCTGTTTTTGTTCGTTCTTTGTTGTTTTGTGTGCCTCAGTAGCATACTTATCACTCCCGCCCTGTGACACGGCAGCAGGAAGCGCGGTCGTTGTTAATCCGGGCCACGGCCGATCCGGCATGAAATTTTGTGAATTTGTTTGGATCATGGTATTGGATGAGGTAGCTGCTTTTTGTTTAACCGCTATCCAAACAACCTGCCTGGCATGGTAGAACCTCAAGAGACATAAGTCTCAGCCAGTATAGCTTGATTAGGTCATTGCGGTGTTCAAGCCCGACCACCACGTCAAGGTAGCAGCTTTCGGTCGGGACTAGAGTTCTGGCTAGTGATACCTGTTGTAAGACTGAGCAAATAGTCCTGACACTAAGTGCTCCAATATAAAATTAACAGCGTGACTTTAAGAGATTATCGATAGTGTATTATTGGCCTCAGAGTGAGAAGATAGAGGACCTGACTGTGGAGTAGTATCAGCAGTTAGAAAGCAGGATGGTGACGTGGAAAGATGACACAGAAAAAAGTGAGTGATCAGGAATGCTTCGTGTATATTTACAGGTGTGGGAGGTTGTTACTTCCCAACTTTCCACACCACAGAAGTTTATAGTTTTCTTGGGGCGCCCGAAACAGAAAGTGAACTAGTACTCAGTGACGTCGCAACCCAGAGGACAGCTAATTGAGGTCGGTCACACACGGTATGTGTGAATTGGTTTATAGAGTTGTCGCCGTATAAGAGGCTTATCGCCAACTATGGACCACAGTAGGATAAATCAGGATGTACAATTTTTGTGTCCAACCATTCCTAACACCCCTCTCTCCAGCGTGACGAGGAAGCACACTTGGCACGCTGGTCATCTGAGGAAAATATCAAGCTACTGCTATATCTGTTTTCAGTATACGAATTCCCCCCAAAGATCACAGCATGGTGTTACACCATACACTACATCCAAACTGTCATCAGTCTAATAACTATCCTAAAACACTTTCTGTCATTGTAGGACCTACAGGAACATCACCTCCAACCAGTGCACATTCGTGAGTCTTACAAACAACGAAAACCCGACCAAAAACTGGAACATAATACTTCAACGAAATAAACACTATTTATCACATACCTTTCAGATTCAAATTCTCGTTTTCCTTATCTTCTATTTGTTGTTGAAACTCATCAATTAAACCTGACAAGAGAACAAAATGAAACATTTCCAAACTATGTGCACAACAATGCATATAAACATGAAAACAATTCACTGAGAATTCATAAGCTCATATACCCAATATAGGCTGTGGTCTCCTAATAGTTGTTTTGCCGTGAACCGATAAAAAATAACTGTAAACATTTAATTTAATCATTGGAATTTCAGCACTAACATAATCTTAACATCAAGTATGCCAACCACCGTTTGCTACTACTACGTAAAGCGGTAGTACTTTGACAACTGACGAATGACGAGGCATTCAAGACCTAAACGAAACCCAGACTCTTCTTAGGAAATCAATTTTTCACAAGTTTCGTAAAACCTGAGGAGTGGGAAGGATATTTTTTTACGCAAATGGTAACAGGCTGCTACCGCAGTGATTACCACGTGCGTCACAGTGATCTCTTGAAAATGTGCTCAGTGATGTTCTAATTTTAGATTAATGGAACCCTTATTTTTCTAACAGAACACTTAGTCCGTTGTCCATGGTCACCAGCATTCTTTATTTTACTTTCGACCACTTGAGCCAATTATACTTCGCGAAATACATAGCGTAAGGTGAAAGTCACACTGCCGAGCAAAATGTAGTAGAGAAATTCTATCGTCTAGTTTACAAAGAATACCAGTCAGCCCATAGCTGCTGGTGGTTTCTCATCAGTAATTTACGTTGCACCACTAACTTTGTTCTGAAAACAATACCAAGCATATCAAACAATGAAATTTAAGTAGCTTGTTGTACAAAGGAAAACAGGAATAAGTTCCTCACTTTAATTATAGTCATCTCTTTTCCATTCTTTTTTACTGGGAACCTCAGTTTTAATGACGTCCACTACTAATCAGTTACAGTATCAATAAGATGACATTGTCGTTTCCCATGCAGAGATTACGATGTGAATTTGGACTGAACAACATGGCCACGTACCAAATTTTAGAAAAACCAACAAATGTGAAATTAGCATTGATTCATGAATTCACAAGTCTCAGTAGGAGTCGTCGGAAGATTGTGTTTTAGATTACTGAAAGCCTGTTATTATGATCCATTTGGTTTAGATTAGCAGATCTGTCACGTTTCCTAAAGTCTAAATGTTCATAACTTCACAGGAATACAACTGTGACAACTAAATTCTATAGGCGGATGATAAATTATCACTCTCTTTGTATCGACACATGAACTGAGGGACAATACTTATTTTCGGTCTTCATGTATCTCTTTTTGTTAACCACTCAGACTAACGTATATAATCATAATCATGTTTGTACAATATTCAGTTGAGTCACAGCTAAATTTACGAAATCACTAAATACGGCCTTTTCACAACTGAGGCATGGATATTAACATCTGACATAAGAATGAATCCTAACAGAAAAACACTAAGCATGTTTACCTTCTCTTTTACGTATATCAGTCAGCAACTTTGATCTTTGATACTCCCAGTCAGCAGTCAGACAACTGATCTTTGATTCATAATTTGAACGTATGGATTCCTTTTCTCTGTCACAATTACTCAATTCCTTTTCAAGCAGTTCAAATACAGAGGTTTCGTCCAGTAGATTCCCCTTCTTAGCAGGAGTTTGGGAGGAAGTTACTAACAACTCAGCATATTTCATTTTCAACTCGTTATAGTGGTCAATAAAGCCAGATAAAGTTTCCTCCAAAGAAACTGTACTTAATTCTCGAATTTCAGCGAACAATCCATTTTGTAGACCTTTGGCAAACTGACCTATTTGGTAGACGAATCTCTCCTCTGCCTTTGCGGAATTTCTACACGAAATATCGAATAATTTTTCATCCGCAAGCATAGATCTCATTTGTCTACTATACAACGAAAATGAATTAACAACTTCGGACAAGCGGTCCTTGATATTATTCAGATCTGAATGCAGAGTACCGCAGGACATTTGAGACACCTCGCTCTGCATTTGATTAACTGCAAATCCACTGTCATCCACATTCTTTTTCAGACGCTGAGAATCGTCTGACTCTAACACAGTACCAAGACCTAAAACATCCTTCTTTATACAGCTTATGTCAGAAGCTGTTGTGCCAAGCACTGCACACGAATCCTCCTCCATGGTTCTCTGTCAAGTGTTCTGAAAAAAGTAGCTGAAGCTTGAATATCATATATACAAATATATACGTCAAAATGTAAAAAAGCTTTCTGGTCAAATTCAGTAGCATGTTTGAAAGAAATAGACAAATGTGCTACTGATTTATTATACAATATGGTCTGGACCCCAAAACAAACTGAGCAATACGTTGTGGAGATACCATGATTAGCAATTGAAAAGACCCAGAATAAACAAGTTGTATTACAGTGTGTAGACTAAAACTTAACCCAAATGGAACTTCAAATAATCGATTTTTTGGTTATGGACAGATACGAAGTCGATTTCCCAGTAGAAGGAAATCATGCTCTCAAAAACCGCGTGACTATTAGGAAATCGGTAAAGGATGAGAACGTTTTAGTGACTTTACACTTTGACCCTAAACTCAGGCGAAGCTCTTAATAATGGTCTGTCCTACAACAAGTACGACAGAGGCTACACGAGATAACAGGGGTGCAATTAATAGAAACAAAATACTTTCTGCACACAGGCACGATGAACTTCCCATAAGCTCCACTGAAAATTAAAAGGGCGTACAACACATATCCCTTCATTTCTGACGAAAAGATTTCATCTATGTTTTAGGCTCTTAACCAATTCACAAGCAATTACCTTGTATTTCAGTTGGTTAAACAGAGTTACCTGGCGTGACTCTAGCACCTCACAAAATTGATATTTTATGCCAGAGTGAATGTGCGGCTTTATAAAACGCCGAAAAATTTACTGTCGGTCGAGAAACCTGCATTGCGAATCCCATATACGAGATCCAAATGTCGTAAAATTCAACCCAAAATTAGTTGGCAACCACAGACAAAGGCTGAAATGTCTATTGCATCTAATGTCTAACAGGAAAAACTACTAACCTGGAAGTAGATGTCACAAAGAAATACATGGAAGGAATGTTTCAGACGATAAGTGGGAGGAAAGGTTATTCCTGAGTACTTCTATGCAATACATATCGAACAGATTGACAGATTTAGGTCTCAGTAACTTGAGTATTTCCTTAATTTATTCAGAACAAAATTGAGCAAACAATTTTTTCAGTAATTACTTCTTCAGGCCCTACAGTTGTATAACCATTGACTTAAGCATACAATGGCCAGTAATGTTAGATTAAAATAATATCAGGAATGTACTTTTGAGAAAGTATAATTTAGGACTAATAATAATATTGCTTAATATATATTACACGATTAACGTTTAATATTAAAAGTTAAGAGCAGCCCAGTGACCATTTAAAATGACTAGATTATTCTTCTATAATTAGTAACGTTCCGAGTGTAAAACAGGTTTCCAGCCTTGAGTTTTGAAGCTTCAATATTAGTGGATTAATTTTTACGTGGCGCGGCTGTTAGCCTCATACCCAGTCTAACCCGCTTACCGAGCTTACTGTTGATTAAGTTAGGTTTATCAATGCGTCTGACAAAGATCGAACCCAGGATCACACGCCTGGTTGGCGAGGATTCTTCAGCTGAGCCAGTGACGTCACAAAAATAACCCCTCGGAAACCTACTCCAAGTATGCACCTGCAACAGCACTCTTCAAATCGTAAGGCCCGCTCCCATCCAAGGACTCTGACAATGACCTTGCTCCACTAAATCTCAATTTGATGAAGCGTATGTCTTACACTAAGTAACAGACAAATCATTTCTCCCAATGAAATGCTTTAGCACGTTACCACAACTAGCAAAAAATCATGTGAAACAAAGTCTAAGGGTTCCAATATCCGATATCGTCATTACAAGATAGTGTAAAACCGGTTTGATTTCTTTGTGTTCAGGAGTGAGTGCACCTAACTGTTTGCGTATCTATGACAACTGGTCAGTTTCACGGTTCAAGAGCGTCTTGCTAATTCTAGACTATTTCTAACATTCTACGATGAATAGAACATTAAATTGTGAAAAGTTTGAATATGCGAACAAAGTAGAACTCAGAACTGGTATTCAGCATGACTGGCACTGGTTCAGCACCCTGTTGTTTTTCTAGGCATTTTCGGAAGTAGCTCAGAACGTAATTGGTTCAATAACAAGCGCATGACTCAGGAGAAATAGCCAAACTTTTCAAAAGTAGGTTGGCGAACTCCAAAACTCCCTATCCGAAAATAATATACTTAGACGGCATTGCTTACGAAAATAATTAGGCGATATGCGAACTGTTTAGCGAACACTTTGCCAGATTATACACCTTAGAGAACGATGAAGTCGTGGATTTCCCACGTAAAACAGACGAATGTTTAAGTGACATAATTTTCACCACACATGAGATCGATAAAGCTGTCGCAAATCTTAAGCTTAGTAACACTACTAGTCCAGACGGTATATCTTCCGTTCTGCTGAAAAACGGTGGTAATGACATGAATTCACTTTTACTCAAGTTATACTCAATCTCATTAAGCGATGAGACATACCCTACCTGGTGGAAGAAGTCTTATATTGTACCTATCCATAAATACGGGCCTATAGCTGATATCAACAACTACCGCCCCATCAACATCACGTCTGTAGTTTCACGTGTAATGGAAAAGATAGTTAAGACTGAAATCATTCAGTACTTGCTGTCAAATGACCTACTATCACCATCCCAATACGGTTTCTTAAGTAGAAGGTCGTGCATTACATGCCACTTAGATTATTTTGACATTACACAATGCATTGATAATGGGCGTTCGGTAACACCATTGTTTCTCGACGTTAGCAAGGCCTTCGATAAAGCCCCACATATCAGACTCCTAACAAAACTCCAATCCTACGGGATAACTGGAAAACTTCTCAGATGGATGAGTTCTTTTCTCACAGAGAGAGAGAGCAATTAGTCAAAATCAACCACCAGCTCTCTTACTCAAAGCCGATAACCAGTGGTGTAATACAAGGTAGCGTTCTTGGCCCTATTCTATTCCTCTTATTTATAAATGGCATAGTCTCTGTAATCAAGTATTGCAAGCCATACCTTTTTGCAGATGATCTCAAGATAGTATATGATTATGGGTACGGTGATATGAGCGTCGAAAGCAAGATCCAACAAGGCTTAAACCATCTAGGCGATTGGAGCGAAAAGTGGCAACCAACTTTCGACCCAGACAAGTGCGGTACAACCCACCTTGGACGCTGGAAACCGATAATGTGCCTGTATATGTACAGTAAGCTCCTCTCAAAACTGAACACAGTCACAGATCTCAGGATAACATAGTCAGATTTATCCTTTTCCGATCATGCAAATAAGGTTGTATCTAACTGCAAACGAATTACTGGCTTTGCACGGCGTAACTTCTACACCCAAGAAGCAAGATTAGCTATATATAGGACATGTATCCGTCCCAAACTTGAATATTGTGCTCTTCTATTTAATAACCTCAGGTCTGCAGACAGAAAAGAAATCGAAAGTGTCCAGAGATTCCTCATGAAACGCATAATAGGGTTTGACCAAAAGCGGAATATGTTGAGAGGTGTATACGTCTGAAATTAGAACCTCTGTGTTTAAGGAGAGTGAAGTGCAACTTATTTCTACTCTTCAGAGTCATTAGGAAACATAGCCACAGTAACTCATCCATAACGTGGGAAAATATTAAATTATATCCTCTGCGAAACCACGTCTACCTTGTCAAGGTGGCTACCCACAGAAAATCAATTAGGACAAACTTTTTCACCTTAAATTATTGCACTCTTCGGAACCAACTACCACCTGAAATAAGATGTTGTGAAAACCCTGATGGGTTCAAACGGAGCCTAGAAAGACACTTTAACATGCTCACCCTAGCTCGTCTAAAAGACCACAACTGTTGGTAGAACGGAAATTGAAGGCCAGTTCAGTCTCCAGTATAGTCACATACGTATAACTCGACTCTAATACTTACGCAGAGAACGTTAACTAATTTACTGAATTCTATTCTCTATAATCTTCACTAAGTTGTGTTGGTAAAAGCAAACCTGGAAATAATTATAATAGCAACCACACCTTTTAACGTTTTACATATGTATATACTAATATAATAATACTGAATAATCATGCATGTTCAATTCTTAAAATTAGATTGTTATTAAAATACTTAAAATGATCAAAATATTTATGCAGCAAATGTTCTCTTGCTTTACCACGCTTGTTTCCCTTATAACACTCAATTATTGAGTCTAATGTGTTCTTTGATAATACGAATTACAATATTGATTATAATCTTATCATAAATAGTTTGATTTACTTTACGGCTCTCTGTAGACTAACTACCCTTCTCCAGTATACACACTGCAGTATTGTTAACCAAATGCTAAACTTTTGTTGGTTCAGTGTCAATATCTTTCTATGATACATGTAGACAGGTTACTTTGCAATGTCAACTGTTTACTGTATACAAGACTGTCATGATAATTTAGTGCACTAAGTCCTGCCAACCGACCTTACCTTCAGCTCATACTACCTACACTGAACCCTAACTATAGTGCTCTGCTGAATCTTGCTCCAATATTCACAAAACCTATTCTTTTTACTCTTTAAGGTTTTAACTTCTTATTAAGTAATCTGTTCGTTAGGACGCATGCACACATATATAATATGATTTTTTTGATTTTTGATTTACAGCTTGATTCCACACTGCATTTTTGGTACAAGTGTGGAATTTGCAGCGTGGATATCGGTAGCCCAAATTTTTGCAGGCCGACCATAGATATCAGGTGTGCGCCGGCGTGGGCTCGAACCCCGGACCATGTGCATGGTTGGCGAGAGTCCTAACCACTGTGCCACCGACGCACAAATATGTTCATAAAGATGTACGTGGAGACCTATTGGAAGCACTGATTAAGAAAGCTAGGGAGATGGAATATGAGGTACAAGCATGTCTGGTACCAAACAATATATTTGCTGTAGCCATAACAATCATAGTCTCAGAGCCTAACATCATAAAAGGAGGGAGGGTGGCGCTAGCTGATCAGTAGATATGGTGGTGGTCACTAAGGTGAATCACCCCATTCTGCAGGGAC